CTTATTGAGATCTCTTTATCTCATTATTTTCATGTACCTGAGCCTCTCACATGAGGTCTTGCGAAGTGTTATCTCATGGTTCTCTTCTAGAGCACTTGTCTCCTTATTATGATCATCTTGAACATTTGCCCCTCTCATTCTTCAAGGAATTTTATCTTTGGAACCGATTGGTCTGTTACGCTTCATGCGTGCCATAGACTCTGTCCCTCATGGACTTTGTTCTATTTGGAGTATTAGCGGCTGAAATATGACATTTAGCTTTGGGTCAGCAAATGCATCTGGCAATAATATATAAATTAATTATCACTTGAACTTCAAGTTCATATTTTCTTGTACGAGGATCTATATTAATTCATAATAATTCATTTCACGTATCACTTTCTCAGCTATCCATTTTCTCCCCCTAATGTTGGGATCACCAACACATTTTCCAACCTTCTTTGGGAACCCATCTTCGTGCATTGTGGTGGCATAATTAAATCAAATAACACATTCATATTTCTATATAGAAATTATTATTTGGTTCCTAATCTTGAACCGATTGTGAGAGAGAAATTTTCATAACTTGGCCAGATGCGTACAAGTGCTGGTGTATATTAAACAATACATCTCATACCAAATTTTATTTTCGAGAGTTTTGTTCTCATAACTAATGATTTAGCTATAATTGGAGGCATGCAATTTCCGCTAAACCAACTTGGATTTAAACCAGTATTATCAAGATAAATCATCATAATTTATATTCTGGAACTGTGCTCTAATAATTTGAGAAAGCAATCTTGCAAAAGTCAAACTGCAAGTTGATAACAAATGCACATGTGACCATAGAATAGATGCATCTATTAAAATCATATAATAGTAAATGGTCTACATAGCAGGTGACTTGGCCCATATATTTGTCACCTTTTATTCGTTCCAGAAATCAAGGGATTCAATCCCAACCTTAACTGGTATATCATGAGAATAAGCAGCACAAGAGAATTTTTGAAGAATATTTTATTCTTCAATATATGTCAATGTAATTCTTAATTAATTTTTCGCATCATAATTGAACCGGGATGGTCAACCGGTCATGCCAACTAATATTTATTTTAGTAAACCTCTAGTTTACTTGTGGCATATGATTCCAGCATCATGCTTATATTTGTATAGTACAAATAGAAAAAAAATTGGGTAATCTTTCATATTTATCCGGTATGATTATAGAAATATGAAGATATTCAATCTTCCTTTCATATATAGTCTCAATATGCCAATCGCTTTGACTTATACATTTGAAATTCAAAAGGTTTCTTTTGAGACTTTACAATATCAATGTCATGAATAATTTTATTCATCCGGATAGTAACAAATTAGTTTTTATATCATAATAAATTGTCATGGTCAAAATTATCATAAGCAAAATCATTTCTTGCTTTAATTTTGCCTTTAATAATTTTTATAAGGCATGCCAAAATATTTTGGCGTATCACATGTACGAGACCAATGACATATTCATGTAATCACACAGTAATATTTATTCTCTTTATTTCACTCAAACCTCACTCAAAGGTGAGTTGTGTGCTATTCATCCAGTCATGCCTTGCATGTCTTTATTCATTACTTTTATCACATAATACCATATTCACCTTTAGGAATTGGTCTGCATTCTCAATGCTTATCACAAGTCACATTTGCTTCAAGGAATGGATCATAATCATCGATGTACTTCATACCAATTTGATGGTAAACATTGCCTTCACATTTTGAAGGACTATTTTGAGAACCCTTGTTGTTCTCCTTTTATAATCATTGTGATTATTATTATTATTTGGAACACTCACGTTCATTGTTCAACCACTTGTCTTCATTTAGACTTATTATGCACTGCTACCACATTCACTTCAAGAATGGAGCTAATCAAGTGAGACAATCTTCATGCCTTTTCATGAAAAATATATTATTTTTCTTTAGTCATCATTATATCATCAATATGGTACATTGGGACTCAAACCCAATGTCTTACCAATATAAAGACATATTAGGCCATAATAAATTGGGACTCAAACTCAACTCTTATTATTATGGAGCATCAGGAATTAATCCCGATGTCTTACCCTCAATCAATGGCATAATAGGCTAAACAATATTGAGATTCATTCTCAAGCCTTAATTTCAATCACATGCCAATAAAGTTGTACACAACTAATTTGCAACTTAACAAATCAAATTTATTTTCTTAAATAAGTGTACAAATCTCAAATCAACGTAAAACTTTATCAATTATTTGTAGCATCTACATGAAATACAACCGTTTGTAGTCAGAATATTTCTTCTAAATTCTATTAGAGTTTAATTGGATCATAGAATCATTGTCATAATATTTATTGAGCCTCTCTCAAAAATATTGTTGTTTTCGGGGTATACCCTACCTATTGGATTTGATTTAACGCCATGACTTTCCTTCACTCAATTCAACCAAGCAATTAGTGAATAAATTTATCAAAAGTACAACATATAGGTAACAACACATATATAGTACTAATACATAAATTCAGCATTTATATTACCTGAAAAGTGACATTATAGGTAACAACTTATCAGTTGTAGCTTATGCATCATTCATATAAAATACTTGAAAATGGTAAGTCAGTAGCAAGCATCAAGTAGATCATGGATACTCGAAAATACCTCTTCTAGTAGTCATACTAATAACTGTTTGCATTCAAATGATACGAAATTATGAAGTATACTTTCTCAGTAGCTGATTTGTTTTCCAAATTTCAAAGAAGTAATTAATCAACCTAGATAAAGATGTGAAGTATTTCTTGTTTTCTTCAAGTTTATTTATGCTTCTAATCAGTATGACATTTTTTTATTCCCCCCCCCCCCTTTTATTTTGGTACTATATGCAAGTGCAAAAATCCAAAAGGAAAAAATATTCATCCAAGTAAAAGAAAATGTTAAAAGCGATAGGACAGATTTAAGATAGTTAACACACAAATATGCACAAGACAACTTATATAACATATCCTTGGTTATCATGCATGCCTCATATTAACAATTAACTGCTACTATGATTTTCACATATAGAATTTCGAAAATTTTATTCCATTCATGTGATATGAAAGATGTAATATTAATATGTGCTTATGCAATACATGTATGGTATGAAGTTGTGTCCATACGAGACATTAGAGGAATGACAAGTATAAGATAATCATACCTTCTTATGTTTCATTACTTACCATATGTAGTTTCTCTTTACTTTCAACCATGAAATGATATGTATGGCTTCTGATTGCAATCTTTCCGGATGTAGGACAATTTTGTAGATATATATAGAATTGGTTAGAGACTCGTGTTGATAACGTGTTATGAAATAAAAGCAATTTAGTAAAACATGAACAAAAAATAGAGATAGAGAGAATGAAGAGATTTTCTTCTTCAATTGTATGTATTTTTCTATCTATTACAAGGCTTTATATAGGCATGAAAAGTGAAAAAATATGACATGGAATATGTCATTGAATATGTCATTAAGAATTTGACATGAAGATCATGGAGGAAGAGTAGACATCCACCATAATATGATATTTATCATAATATCAAGTTTTTATTTTTTATTTTTTTTATTTGTATGTATTCAACAATAAACTAAATATTAAGAGTAATGATTAAGGACTGTAGGATTACCATATTGGACTACAACATATATTTTTTCTTTTTATGATAATGGCTTCTTAACCGGCTTGCGTATCTCTTCTAATCCACAATCTATTTCGAAATTGAGGTCAATCTTGATAGTTGTCACAAGAAAGTCGCCCCATCTCTAAAGAAGCTTATATACTCCAAAACGTTCTTATGTTATGAGGTTTCGAACACTCAATTATGCCAGAAAAAACTCTCTATATGGTAGTCCTGTATGGGTCCAAATTTGACCGACCTTAACCTTTTGATGAGTGCGACCAACTACCGAGTACTGACGAATCGGCATCCCAAGGGAGACGACCTCAAGGCAAAAATAGAAGTTGTACGACCCTTGTAAGAATGTAATCCCATTAGGGGACATTAAGAATATTTCACCGAATATTCCTTATATTGTATTTCTTACATTTCGGAAGGGTATTCTCCCTAGCATATAAGGGGGGAAAGAAGGACCTTGTAAAGGGTAGTGAATATTCTGGGAAACTTGTGAATCTTGAATAAAAAGAAAACTTGCTGCTCTCTTCTCTTTACTCATTACCATTCTAGAGATTATTATATTCAGTTACGATTTACCCTCTCATCTTTGATTGATTTGCTCAAATAGGTCTTAACGTTTTTTGAGTCAAACAATTTGGCGCCGTCTGTGGGAATTTCTATAGCTGAAACCATAGTTCTCATCTAGATCCCTGAAAGTGATATTCGCTTTTCTTTGAACTCCGTATAAACCAACAATGGCGGGAAAGGAAACGAGGTTGTAGGCGATAGCGGATGTCTCGAATAATCTCCTGAATTCCCTCAACGAAGCCGGTAGAGAAGACATTGAGAATACAACAGCAAGAGCTACACCGGAGGGGGAGATCTCAACTCTTCCACACGGGGATCTAACGATCTTGCGCGAAAGGAGAGCCTCAACATCCACGGTGGGTGAAGCACCACCAGTAGTTAAAAAGATGCTAGAAGAATGGTTGACAAGTGCTTTGAGCAACATGCTCGAGAAACCTCCTCAGGGAGATGTCGAAGACGTGCCACTTACAGAAATCGCAGCTACCGCCGATGAGCCAAGTGCTACGCGAACAGGTAACACCCGCACTGTTACTAATGCAGGTGACGATGCACTCATGGCCATCTTAAAGAAAATGGAAGAGATAGAAAATGAGAACAAAACACTCCGTGACAAAATGAAGGAACATCGAGAGAGGGTTGACAAAATACCAGGCGCTCCGAAGCTATTACCATAACGCGATGTGGGCCGATTCGTCGAACAACCATATAGCGAAGGGGGTGCTCCTCATTCTATCCCAAAAACCTTCAAGATGCCGCCATACTTGAAAATATACGACGGAACTACGGACCCAGAGGATCACCTAATTCATTATGTTACTGCGGTAAAGGGCAATGATCTATCAAAAGAACAGGTACCTTCTGTACTACTAAAAGAGTTCAGTGAGACCTTGACATGGTACTCCCAGTTACCAGCGCGTTCGATATTGACATTCGAAGAGATGGCGGACAAATTCGCCACCGCTCATGTAGGGGCAAAGAAGGCTGAAGCTAGGGTCAATGATATCTTTACTGTCAGGCAAACAACGGGCGAAGGACTTCGGTATTTCCTGTCCCGATTCAACAGAATAAGGATGAGCCTACCAAACGTGTCAGAAGGGATGACAGTGGCAGCCTTTCAAAATGGGTTAAACAGGAACGGATCAAAGGCAACCAAAAAACTGCTTAGTAGACTCATGAAGTATCCCCCTACCACGTGGGAAGAGATCCATAACGCCTATTGCGCCGAGGTAAGGGCAGATGAGGACGACCTGAACAGCCTGATTCAGCGATTAACATCAGTTCAGACCGAGGCAAGGAGATATCGACGTAACGATGGGCGAAGAGATCAACCACCACGTTTTAATCGAGAAAGGCATCTGCCCTATGTTCGAACATCCAACCCGCCCCCTCCACGACATGCGGATGTCGTGCTACGACACACTGCGCCCCTCCGAAACGAAAGAGGTATGCCTCCAATACTATTTGCTTATAACTTTTGTGTTTCCCCTTCAGAGATAGTGTATGCACTGGAGAATCTAGGCACGAAGGTGCAGTGGCCACAAAAAATGAAATCGGACCCAAGCACTAGGAGGTCAAACGTCCTCTGTGAATTACACCAAGAAAGAGGACACAAGACTGAAGATTGCATAGGTCTGCGGCAAGAAGTTGTTAGGATGTTGAACTAGGGGTACCTGAAAGAACTGCTAAGCAATAAAGGAAGGGCCAACTTCGCTCGAGGGCGCGACCCATCTCAAGGACCTCCAAAGCCACCATCACCAACGCGTACCATACAAATGATCATTGGCGACAGCGAAGACACGGTAATCAACCATGTGAAGTTCAGAACCATGCACAAACTCAAACGGACAGTCGCCCACGAACGGTATGATGACCTCGAAGACAATATCATCTTTGATAAGTCAGATACTGACGGTTTGTCTTTCCCTCACTATGATGCTTTGGTTATAACTTTATGCATCGCTGACACAGATGTAAAAAAAATCATGGTAGATGACGGAAGTGGCGCGTGTATTGTTCACCTGCGAGTTCTCATGCAAATAAGGCTCGAGGATAAAATAATACCACGTTGCATAACACTAACGGATTTTAATAATGCAGTAGAGCGGACATCCGGAGAAATAATGCTATCTGTCCTGGCTGGAGGTGTCACCCTGGAAACAACACTCCACGTCATGAACCAGGAAACGACCTACAATGCCATCATATGGTGGCCATGGATACAAGCCATGCGAGCCGTCCCCTCGAGTTTCTATCAAGTGATCAAATTTCCCACCCCATGGGGGATATTCAGCATCCGAAGCGAGCCACGTACCGCCCAAGAATGCTACCGGATCGCCCAAGATTGCGCACACACCAAACAGCTAAAAGGGACAAGCGCGGAAGCATAACAGTCAGCCATATCGGGCACCAAACCCGACATGCAAGAAGAGGCCATCAAAGATCCAGACATTGTGGAAGCTTGCAAAGAAACCATAGAGGATGTTGATCCCATCCAGTTGGATAACACCAACTGTTCCAAAAAGGCCTATGTTGGACACAACCTCTCGGAGCTAGATGAGTATCATGAGTTTTTAACTAATAAAGCTGATTTGTTTGCTTTCTCCCATTCAGATATGCCGGGAATCCCAAGGGAGATCGCCACACACAGGCTAAATGTCGATCCACTTTATCCACCGATACGACAAATGAGAAGGAAGTTCAATGTTGCAATCAATGAAGCGGTCAACGAAGAAGTTGATAAATTACTCGCCAACGGCTCCATCAGAGAATCGAAATACCCCCAATGGGTCGCCAATGTGGTCATGGTCAAAAAGAAGAACGGGAAGTGGCGAATATGTTTCGACTTCACCGATTTGAACAAAGCATGCCCAAAGAATTCCTTCCCGCTACCTCACATCGACCAACTTATCAATGCAACAGCAGGGCACAAACTACTGAGCTTCTTGGACGTGTACTCCGGTTATAACCAAATTCTGATAGCTGAAGAAGATAAAAAAAAGACCACTTTCATCACTCACCAAGGTACGTACTGCAATAAGGTGATGCCGTTCGGGCTCAAGAACGTAGGGGCCACGTATAAAAGATTGGTCACCAAAATGTTCAAAGAACAACTCGGTAAGACAATGAAGGTTTACATCGACGACATGCTAGTGAGGTCAGCAAAGAAAGAAGATCACATTGGCCATATAAAGGAAGCCTTTGAAATACTAAGGCAATACGGAATGAAACTGAACCCCGAAAAGTGCACCTTCGGCGTGACTTCTGGAAAGTTCCTCGGTTTCCTAGTGTTACAAAGAGGAATCGAGGTCAATCTGGATCAAATCAAGGCTATAGACGCAATACCGGAAGTACTGACCAGCAAAAAGCAGGTGCAGAAGCTGACGGGACGAATAGTCGCCCTGTCTAGGTTCATTTCACGATCCTCGGATAGATGCCATAAATTCTTCAATATGCTAAGGAAATACCACGGGTTGCAATGGAACAATGAGTGCATCGAAGCCCTGAGAAAGCTAAAAACATATCTATCCTCGCCACCACTGCTCGTCAAAGCAAACCCAAGTGAATGCCTGCTTGTGTATCTAGCAGTTTCTGAAATTGCGGTAAGCATAGTCTTGCTCCGTGAAAATTAAGGTACACAATCTTCAATTTACTATGTTAGTAAAACTTTAGTCGATGTCGAGATGAGGTACCCTCACCTTGAAAAACTAGCTCTGGCATTGGTCGTAGCTTCACAGAAGTTTAGACTACAGTGCCACCCCATAAAAGTGGTGACAACCTTCCCCCTAAGGGGTATCCTGCACAAACCCGAATTGTTGGGTAGACTATCCAAATGGGCCATAGAACTAAGCGAGCACAACATAACGTACCAATCGCGAATTGTCATCAAGTCAAAGGTGCTCGCAGACTTTGTCGCTGATTTCAGCACGGAAATATTGCCCGAGGTAGAACAGGAAGCACTCCGCACTTCTGCACATAACCTCTGGGTCCTCTACACCAATGGTGCCTCCAATGCCTCAGGATCGGGACTGGGACTCGTCCTCGAGGTCCCTACAGGCGAAGTAATTCGCCAGTCCATACGATGCCCCAAGATGACTAACAACGAGACCGAGTATGAAGCTGTGATTGCAGGTTTGAAGTTAGCCCTCAAATATGGCGCTCGGCGACTCGTCCTCCACTGTGACTCCCAACTCGTGGTGAATCAGGTCACCGGGACTTTCCAAATCAAAGAGCAGAGGCTACAAAGATACCAGTCAGAAATCCATAAACTACTGCCAGAATTCGATGAGTGCCGCCTCGACCAAATACCTAAGGCGCAAAACATCGAAGCAGATGGCCTTGCTAAACTGGCTGCGGCCACCAAGAATATCAACAAAGAAAACGTGGTCACCCTCCTTCATTCTGCAATCAACCACGTCGAGGTACATTCTATAAACTTAACTTGGGACTGGCGTAACCGCTTCGTAGCCTATTTGCAGGATGGAACGCTTCCGCAAGACAAAAAGGAAGCCAAAAAACTCCGGGTGCAGGCAGCCCGGTACAGCCTGGTAAACGACGATCTCTACAAAAGAACGTTTGGCGGTACCTTGGCCAAATGTCTTGGGCCACATCAGACAAGGCGAGTACTGGAAGAAGTACACGAAGGACACTACGGAGCCCATGCGGGAAACCGCGCCCTCATCCAATGCCTCATTAGTGCCGGGTACTACTGGCCCGCCATGAAAAAAGAAGTCGTCGACTATGTTAGGAGATGTGAACAATGTCAGAAGTACGCCCTTATGATATATCAAGCAGGGGAACTCCTTCACTCTGTCATTTTGCCATGGCCATTCATAAAATGGGGAATAGACATAGTCGGCCCCCTCCCAGCAGGACGAGGTAAGGTACGCTTCCTTTTGGTTTTAACTGACTATTTCTCTAAATGGGTGGAAGCGGGTGCATACACTCAGATACGCGAGTAGGAGGTCATCGCCTTAATATGGAAAAATATTATATGTCGTTTTGGCATCCCCAAAGAAATCAGCTGCGACAACGGACCTCAGTTAGTCGGAAAAAGAATGACTGAGTTTTTCGAAAAGTGGCGCATCAAGCGAATACTCTCCACGCCATACCACCCTGCCGCCAATGGTCAAGCCAAATCCTCCAATAAGGTAATATTGAACATACTGAAGAAGAAGCTCGAGAAAGCTAAAGGGCTATGGCCTGAGCTATTACCAGAAGTATTATGGGCATACCGCACTACGCGAAAAACCAACACAGGAGAAACGCCATATTCACTGGTCTATGGGACCGATGCAGTTATACCCGTCGAGGTCGGGGAGCCCAGTTTGAGATACTCCAACGAGAGCGGAACATGCAACGACGAAAGTAGGCTACAAAACCTGGACGAAGTTGAAGAACAAAGAGACATGGCCCACATAAGAATGGTAGCCCAGAAGCAGCAAGTAGAAAGATACTACAACAAAAGAGCCAAGGTATGACCACTCAAAGTCGAAGACTACGTCCTCAAGGCTAAGACACAAGTTTCAAAAGACCCTAATGAGGGAAAATTGGGAACAAACTGGGACGGACCATACAAAATCGTAGCGGCAGCAAACAAAGGAGCATTCCAGCTAGAAACAATGGAGGGAAAACTACTCCAAAACAACTAGAACATCGCCCATCTCAAGTACTTCCACTTCTAAAAGAAGGCGTCACCTAAGTCATACTCTTTTTCCCTTACCCGGGTTTTGTCCCAATTGGGTTTTCCCGTGGAGGTTTTTAACGAGGTGGCAAGGGGGACGATTTAGGGATCGACATGCTGTTCATTACCTCAACCTGTCGATGTGACCTTCAGATCGAAGAAATGAAGGGACTACATATAGATAATCAAATCTCCATTATATGTATAGAATCGAATCTCCATTGTATTTACGGAATCAAATCTCCATTGTATTTACGGAATCAGATCTCTACTAGCCGACATGTGATGCCTTCCTACGGGAATACGACCAAGTCTCCAAAAATTTAAGTTCGACCTCGTTCGAACCACGACGGGATTCTACTTCGACGACAGTTTGAAGCAACATCCCAATGGCCAAGGACATCGACGACAATATAGGTTCGACCCCGTTCGAACTACGATAGGATCCTACTTCGATGACAGTTCGAAGCAATATCTCAATGGCCAAGGCCATCGACGACAATATAGGTTCGACCTCGTTCGAACTGCGACGGGATTCTACTTCGACAACAGTTCGAAGCAACATCCCCATGGCCAAGGCCATCGACGACAATATAGGTTCGACCTCGTTCGAACTGCGACGGGATTCTACTTCGACAACAGTTAGAAGCAACATCCCCATGGCCAAGGCCATCGACGACAATATAGGTTCGACCTCGTTCGAACTACGATGGGATCCTACTTCGACGAGAGTTCGAAGCAACATCCCAATGGCCAAGGCCATCGATGACAATACAAGTTCGACCTCGTTCAAACTACGACGGGATTTTTCTTCGACGACAGTTCGAAGAAACATCCCGATAGACAAAGGTGCCAACAATATCATGTGTATGATAAATGCAAGAAAAAATGAACCAACAAAAGTAAATTCTACATTATAGCAAAACATCATTTACATTCGCCCCTTCAAACAGGCCCAAGTACGACCCGTGCAAAAATTCCTAA